TTTTTTTTTTTATTGTAGAGATGAGGTCTCACCAAGTTACCCAGGCTGGTCTCAAACCCAAAGTGCTGGGATTATAGGCTTGAGCCACTGCACCCGGACTAAAAGGTCTAACAATAATAATAATAACAGCAGGTAACTGTTGTAAAAGCTTACTATGTCCTGGGCACTGTGCAAGTGCTTAGATGATCTTATTCGATTCTTAGAACAACTCTTTGAGCAGATTACTGCTATTTCTCCATTTTGCAGGTAAAAAAAAATATTGCAGGTTAAAAAAAAAAAAATGGAGACATACAGAGGTTATCTAGGTTCACATAGCTACTAACTTGCAAAGCCAGGATTTGGACCTAGGCAGTCTGATCCCAGAATCTCTATGCTTAACTAGTCTACCATATGCCTTCCCTAGAGTAACCATTTGATATACAAGGAACCCCATATTTTATGCCTGGCTGTGGCCTCCATGGAGTAACTTCATGTATTCACTTAGTACTGAAAGACCAAAGTGAAGGACACCATTGGAGGAAGCCAGCAGCCATCATCATTGAGGGATCTGCTTCTTCAAAGAACCCAAGTCAACCGAGATGAGTGTATTCTAGCCATTGACCCTGACAGCAGATATGTGAATCTCCAAAATTATTAGTTTTTGTTCCTCAAATTGAAATCATGTTAGAGTGAGAGTATAAAAACTCTCACAACTGGCCCCACCTGAATGGCCAGCTATCTCAAGAGACGAGCTGTGCTTGTCAGAAGGAATCCCTGCAGGACTCTAAGAGAGGTTAGAGTGCTGTGGAGATGTTGTGAAAGGACTGTAATGGTTGGTCTGAACTCACAGGGACTTGGTTTCAGAGGTAATTAGAGAAATGAATCACAGCCTCTAATGCAACCATCAGAAAACAGCTCAAACTCACTCAAGGAGATAGGGGCTTTATTGGCTCATGGACCTGGGCAGTCCAGGTGTAGATTTGGTTCCAGACAAGGCGGCTGGTACAGAGACTGAGTGTAATCAATGCTCTATTACTCTATCAATCCCGCAGCTTTTCTGCTTCCAGCTTGGCTTCTGCCCTCCAGTCTCCTTCCGTGTGGTAAACAAGATGGTTGCTGGCAGTCCTGGGCTCACATCCTCTCAGCTTAGAAATCCAACAGCAAGAGGACATCTTGCTCCCAAAGCCCGTCACTCAATCCTTGTTGGGAAGACTGTACTTGGCCCTGCTAGGTACACATAACCACCCAAAAACAACGTCCAGAAAGGGAGCTGGGAAGAGAGGTTACTCTGATCGGACAGTGTGGGTTTCATGCCCACTCTTGTGTCCCGGGTATCTGGGGAATTTGGGGAAGGAGGAGGAATTCACAGTCCCTTTGGACTGGGGGAAGGTTTCCCAGAAGAACCATAAAATTAGTAAAGCACTGTAAGCAAACAAAAACTATGGTTATGTAAGTTTCTGACAGTAACAATACATAGGGCCTCATTTTGCCTAAGATAAATGACAGATCTTCTCTGCTAGGGCAATTCTGATTGCCTCTCCAGGGTTCTTTTAGAAAGTGGAGAAACTGCACAGTATTGCTGGGCTTCCCATTTCAGAAGACCTAGACCCGCAGTTCCATGGTAGAATGCAGAAGGCCTAGCCAACATCCTAATTCTGAGACTGAAGAGCCCTGTGAGTGTGGGCAATACCCTTCTATTTTGTGGAGTCCTAGGTGGGAAATTAGGTGGAAGACCAGCACTCCCTTCCCAGATCAGAGACATCCTTGCCTTGTGACTTTTTTTTTTTTAGTTGAAGTCTCACTCTGTCGCCCAGGCTGAGTGCAGTGGCACACTCACAGCCACTGCAGCTTCGACTTGCTGGGCTCGGGCGATTCTTCCACCTCAGCCTTCCAAGTAACTGGAACTACAAGCATTGCTATCACACCTGGCTTATTTTATTTTATTTTATTCCATTTTATTTATTGTAGAGACGGGGTCTCACCCTGTTGCCCAGGGTGGTCTCGAACCCCTGAGCTCAGGCAATCCTCTCACCTTGGCCTCCCAAAGTGCTGGGATTATAGTTTGAGCCACCAGGCCTGGCCCTTGTGACTTTAAAAAAAAATAATTTCTCCTTTTTGGGTGTCAGTTTCCTCTTCTGAACAAAGCTTCCCAACTTAGTTCATAAGCTTCCAAGTCAGGTACTTACATTCTTTTCTCAGGTGCTGAGGAAGGCAAAGCAGGGAAGGAAGGGCTATATTTACAGAGCAGGCCTGCAGCAGGTATGGAGGAACCAAGCCTCAGAGCCATAGATGTGACGTGAAGCCCATGACGCATAATCCCAGGAGGCACCTTCATGACCCACCATTGAGCCTCAGGGCCACAGCTGGGGCTTGATGAACACTTCACCATGTGCATCAAACGTAAGCGCCCGCCAGTTCAGGACATTAGGAGTGAAGGTCTCACCAAGATAGACAGTGTTAATCTTATCTGGCGACAGCACAAAATCCCACATGTTCACGTTTCCAATGTCTCCCACCAAAGACTGGTGTTTTTCAAAGCCCCCACCGAAAGAATCCTGTTCCTGCCCCAGGATGATGCTTGCCTCTGCCCCCAAGGAATATCCCTTCTGCAGACTCTTCCTCACCATTGGCTTCCCATCCACCCAGAACTCTACAATCCCTGAGGCCGACTCCCAGCTTGTGCAAATGTGTACTGGAGCCACAGTGACTTCAGGAACACTGAAGTGTACGTCAGACCCACCCACTGTTAAAGAATATCTGCTGTCCTTGGACCAAAATATGAGGATCTCGTTTGCTTGTGTCTTGGTGGCATAAGAGAAGATACTGTACCCACGGGTCTTGGTCAGTTCGGTGTAGATGTGGAGGCACACAGTGAAGGCTGTGAGAGGCTTCGTTAATTGTGCTTTCAGGGACACATAGGAATTATCTGACTCTTGGGGAAACACAAAGGCCTTCTTATACATATCTGCAAGACAGAAAACCAGAGAGATGAGACGTTTCTCAGATCACAAAAATCTATCTCCTGACTATACAGTTTGCGGCTGAGAAATAGACTGACCCTTCCCTAAATATACATACACACACTCACACACACACTCATCATGCTGAATGTTTCACTGACTTCATTTTATACAGTCTTTGACCCCACTGCTCTCCCTCAGACCAAACCTCTGGCATACCTTGGGTAAACCCTACCTGTCTGGCCAAAAGCTTGAGAGAAGCAGGTTGAGACCAGGAAACACCACAACAGCTTCTCCATGGTCACGTCTGCTGCCAGTGCTGTTGGGATCTGAATTCAGCGTCTTGGAGAAGATGTCTTTGGCTGAAAGCTTGGGGTGAGCAGTCTTAAGAGTTTTTGCTTCAGAGCTACCCCATCCTACTGGGATTTATATCCAAAGCAATCAAGGACTCTGCACCACTTTGTAAATGATTTTCCAACACTATCTCTTGGGGCAAAAGACAGAGCTCTGGGAGGAAGGGCAGCAAAATCATTCTGGAACAGAGAAATCAGTGTGGGTTATTTATTACAAACTCCTGTGACTACTGAATTGCCAATTCTTTGTGACAGGAAAAATGAAGAAGCATCCTAAGTTTCTGCTTTGGCTCTCTATCCTGAGAAAATAATAAAAAAATCTCATTAGACTGGTGGCCACCTGTGTGCACGTGAGAGCTGCCTCTTCGGCCTAAGTCATGGAGTTTGACGGAAGAAAGCTGACAGCTTCTGGAGATGGACAATATCACCAAACCTTTCAGAAGCTTCTTGTTTACAGATGGGAAAATGAGGAAAACAAACATGCCATTCCCTGAGCCGAGGATAAATTTTCTCTGCCAACTGGATATACTTATTCAGAGTGCTCTAGTCCCCTGATTACAAACATAACATCCTGTCAGAGTTTCTTCAAACAGACTATTTTCTGAAAATATAAAGCTTCAAGGAGGAGTTGGAATGATCTGATTCTATTTCCTTTGTTTACAAGATTTGAGTAGTCCTTTCACACTGCCTGGCAATCTTGCTACAGTTTTCTACTTAACTCACTCTTTAAGACAATTATTTTGCTCCTCCTTGCTCCTCAAATTCCCAAAATCCCATTCATTCTTTCACTCAGCTAATGAACTCACTTTTTCACTGAGAAATTAGAAGAAATCAGGAAAGAACTACCATAACCTTGCAGCAGAGGCTTCCAGCTGTTCCTCAATATTCACTCTCTGCTTCTCATAAAATAACATTTTTAGTTGGGCACGGGTCACCCGGCCAAACACTAAATTTCCCAGCCTCCCCTGCAGCTAGAAGTGATGATGTGCTTAAATTCTGGCCAATGAGATGTGAATAGAATGGGAACAATCTCTAGGTTCCAGCTTTTGAAGAACTACCTGCTTCCCCCTTCCACTTCCCCTCTTTTCCTTTGGCTAGTATTCAGTCATGATAGCAGGAGATAGAGCATTCACTTTTAGACCAGCAAATGTAAGCTGCATGTTGAGGTTGGCATGGCAACAAGAGAGATGGAGCCTGGATAATTGAGTATGGAGCCACTGTACTTGTTCAAGACTGCCTACCTGAACATTTACTTAAAGGAGAAATCCCTTTCTCTTTTGCTAAATTACTAGTAACTCAGTCTTTCTGTTACTGAAGGCTTACTGATATCTTCATACATCCTCCTGCCACCAAATCTACAGGTCTGTTTGTCTTCTACCTATTGCAAGGAATGAACTGCCTCTGTATATTCTAAGGCCAGCCCTGCACTTCTGCCATAAATCCCAGATCTTCTTGACCACTCAATGAATTTTACTTCTATAGTTATCCTCACTATCTTCTACATCATTAATGTTTTCATTTTTACTTTATTATTTTCAAAAAACACTGTAACATATTTAATATTTTAGAGACAGAAGGAAAAAAGGAAGGAGGGAGGGAAAGAATACAAAGAAGGGAGGGAGAGAAAGGCTTATATGTGCTTACAACCGCTATTTCCCCACCTCCCAATCTCTCTTCAATCCATAAAAACCAGGTGTTGGCCTCCACCGCTCCAGTGAAACCAACACTTTTCTCATGAAATTTAATAGTGAATTTTCTGTTTTTATCTTACCCAGCTTCTCAGGAACATTCAATACAGTTTGTAACTTCCTCCTGAATACCTGCACATAGTTTAAAGAGTGAAATTATTTTAAGGCCTTATTCCCAAAAAAAAGCAGACCTCTGTCCCTCCACTTTCCATCCTTGACTCCCAAGTAGAGCTGAGAGATTGAGCCTTGATGACACTGAGTCTCCGAATCCAGTCCCACCTGATGCCAGCTTCGCCTCAGGTCTCTGAAGTCTATTAGCCAACAAATTCTATTTTTACTTATTGTACACATTTTGGTTGCTTTTATGATACTTACATTTGAACAAGTTTTGACAAATAGAAGTAACTTCCTAGCCATGCCTTGAATCCAAGATATTGTGTGTCCAAACTGATCATTACTTGTCCTGAAATAGCACATACATTGGCATCCTTGCCACCAGAATCCTTCCAGAGAAACACAGGTTTTTATATGGAAAAGGCAGCATTTAAACTGAGCCACAACAATTGAAGTTGAAAAGGTTCAAAACTAAGATAATAATATAAGCAATGGTCACCATCAAATTTCACTTTCTCCTGTTTGATACACAAACTCCAAAAAGCTTGGTTAAATCTCTATAACTATGGTAGTTCATTTCACTGAATTAGTATCGCTTCAGTCCAAAATTGTATTAATTTTCAGGACAAAATTCTAAGATATTCTTACTTCACAGATTGTATCAGTTTATTCTTTTAGTTACATTCTATTCTAGGTAATGTATTAGTGTATTTTCTACTTGATATTTCCAAGTCATTATTAGAATTGCTGTTCCACTTTACTGGCAAGATAATTGCATTTCTACTATTTGTCTCTGCTGCCAATATTTATATAAACTTCTTAATAATCTATAGAATAAGTGGACATAAGGTCTTTCACATTAAGTGAGTAAGAGACTTTGAAGTTTTCTTGAACAAGGAAATAATGGAGTCAGCTCTGTTTTAGAATTTTTGTTGGCAGCATTATAAAGGATATATTGGAATGAGAGATATTATAAATTGAGAGACCACTTAGTGGGCCTTAGTTCATTAATTCAACCAAGGAACATCTTAGGAGTAGTTTCCAGGGATCAGACACTAAGCCAGTTAACTAGGCAAATTATGTTGAAGATAATAAGGGTCAAAACTAGGACAGAAGCAGTAGGAATGCAGAGACAGATGTAAGAGGCATGCCAGTAGGAAAATTAATAGGAATGGAAAACTGATCAAATATGGATCTATAAGGAGCAGCATTCAAAGTTATTTAGTTAGTACTCTTATGTCAAACACTGTGATGTGAATGAGGCCAATATGGTGTGATCATTCGTTCCTGGATCAGTCAGTTTCACTTATTTGGTGGTCAAACACTAAAGCTCTAACACTGGCTTAGCATCTAGGAAAGATGATCCAAGGTCAAGAAATATTGTGTGCATAAATTGATGCAAAAATAGCATCAATATGCCCGTCAGGAAAAAGGAGAGAAAATTCAGACCCTCTTATTTATAGGCAATAGCGTTACCTTCTTGAAAACCAGCTTTTGCAAAGCCTTGCACAGAGTTGGTGCTCAATCACGATGTGGGGTAAATAGACGAAAGAATAACTGAAGAAATGAAGGAAGAAATGACAGAAAAGAGCATTTTAATCAATAGTGAACCGAGCACAGATGCTAATATCACCTTCCCACCTCAATGCCTACAAATACAAAAAACATATTCTTAAGAAATAAATCAATGTAGTGGCAGGGGAAAAAAGGCATTCCATTCAACTGAAAGAGACCTACAGAATCTCTGAAAGGCAGAAAATAGATAAATTTCATCAGTAGAAGAAATAACAACCCAAAACGTATGCAGAGAAAGAGATGCTGTAAAAATCTGAAGTGTTTCTGGGCTGCTTTAAAGTAAAGGGTAATGGAAACAAGTGGTAGAACACAAAGTAGAGGAGAGGTTGATTATGGAGTCACTGCTACAGTCCCTTGCCCGCCCAGCCAAGCATTAAGCAGCAAAGGCCTTTGCCCTCAGCCTGGAGCACTACGAGTTATTTGCCCTGACAGGTAGGACGGTGCCCAAGGAGGCTGGAGACCCTCAGGAGAAGGCCCTATGCTCTTGTACCCAAAGTACTAGTACACCCTGCTGGTACTTCCTGCTCATTCCTCTTAATCCCTGGAGCTAGGTTACAGAAAACTGACAGCACCCACAGACCATAAATATAGGAGCACTCATATTAGGAGACAGAATTTAAGAGCAAACAGAGAAGCTTTTTTGTTTCAAAGTATAATTAATAGATTGAATATATAAAACATCAACAAAAAAATAAATAGAAGACGAGAATCTTGGGAATCAAAACTATGACACTCAAAAAAGGATTTCAGAGAAAGAAAATGTTGAGATTGCAGGAAAATAGTTTTAAAACGTCTTAGAGTAAATGAAAAAAAAAGCAGTCAGAACCAAAGGGCCACAGAGTACCAAGCAGGGTGTATAAAAAAGATTCATGTCTAAACAATGACAAGAAGTTTGATAATTAGGCTAAGGAGAAAAATTGGAAGCATGCCCATGTATCCTAGAAAGGTCTAAGAATCAATGGATGTTAGAAAACTGTTAAGGAAAAGACAGAGAATTTTAAAAAGAAAAAAAGAGCTAAAGCTACCCAACTTATCTTAAGAATCCAGTAGCAAGTTAACACAAAACCCAAACAAGACTCGTACCAGCAAAGTAAATGAGAAGCCACTCCCATCTTTAAACATAGATGCAGAAATCCTACATAAAGGATTTGATCCTGCAAATCAAATCAAACTGTATGTAGACAATTTATAACATCGCAACTAAATAGAGTTGTTAAGCAGACAAAGCAAATGACCAGGTGACACGCCAAACCCACAATAGCAGCAGTTACTGGGGATGCTCACAGTAGGAGCTGTGGGCGGTCCCCATAGCCATCATATTCTAGAGCTGTGCCCAGGGATCTGGCAGGACAGACCACCAGACCCCTACCCTTGAGCTATGAGGCTGCAAGATTAGAAAACTACTGGCTTCTCTCCTGGTGTGATCAGCATCCATGAAACCCTAACAATAAAGCCTGACAACTTAGCATTCATGGCTGGGGTAGGCTTCCGCCTTTCCCTGGTGCAGCAGAGGCTGAGGTCTATGCCTTGCAGTTGCTGCTAAATCACTCAGCAAGCTAGAGGGTGAGGATA